ACTGCAGGGTGGGCTTCTGCTTCCAGGCACATACTCACCAAAGTGGTCAGACCCAAATTCCTGCCCATTTAAAGAAATTGGAATTCCTTTAACCTGTCGCCCAGACTTTGCTGAGACTCTTTTCCACACATTTTCCACACCCTTTTTCTTAGGCCTGGGGAATGTTTCAGGCTTGAGGGTCTAAAAGAGATTTTCCATACCTTCTTGACTCCTTTCAGTCAGAAGCCCAGAGAAACGCAGGGGCCAGGTCTCTGAGCCCCTGCCGGCCTATGACCCCATCTTGACAGCCCTTTGTGTCGGGGAGCTGTGCTAGCTCTGGGGTCCGGTGAGCGGGGATCCCTAGCCCTTCCTTCCCCTGCTCGGTGAGGACAAATTCCTGCCTTGTTCCCGGATCTTTTCTTATCTCTTCCCAGTTCCTCTTCTATTCCTGGGGCCCCCTCCCCTCTTTACAACTGCTCCCTTCCCCCTTTCACTTTCCTTCCTCTCCTCTCTGCTTTCAGACCCTAGCACTCTGCCTTTCCCCCAAAGCTCCCCATCTTGAATGCATCCCCCTTCTGGGCTTCGGTCATCTCATCTGCAGACTTATCAGAACGTGCACTGTGTGTGAGCAGCAGGCAGAGGACATTTATCCAGAAACTCAGCATTGTTTGATGGGCTGCCCTTCTAATATAGACTTGCTCTGAGAAGCGGTTCCCAAAGTGTTTTCCTTGGAACACCAGACTGCCAAGACACACCTCCTGCAGTGGAAAATCCCTAAATGCAGAGGTGTGGTCAGATGAGTCTGTGTCCTGTTTCCCTCTAGTACGTTTCGGTTACATGACCATATGGAAGACTCTGGAAAGTTCCACACTAAAGAAGCCTGTTTACTTTGAGTAGGACTCCCTGTAATAGACACCATCCCTCTGGCCTGTTTATAAGAGCTCTTCTCACCTCAGGTCTTGTTCCAGCTGTTTTTGCCAGAAAGTTCTTCCCTGTGCTTGGCTAGAGCTCGTCTCTGTCATGTCCGCACACAGAGCCCAGCTCTGGCCGTCCTCTGGGAGTGTTCCTGGGAAGTTTAAATGCATAACCTGAAGGCGGCTCTTTGCTTCTTGGGGCCAAATACTCCAATTCCTTCTACTCCATCCTTGCATGGGATCTTACGTCCACTCACCTTCCTGGGTACCCCCACTGACCAGGCCCCCTGAAGTGTGGGGTTGGCCTGGAGTGGAGCAGACTGTCATGGGGTGGGGAGGACTGTGTCCCCTTCATTTGGGATTTGGGACTTTTCATTTTTCCTGTCATTATTCCACCCCCTGGGTTTTTGGCTGCCCTCTGGACTCAGTGGGGTATCACCCATCTCCAAATGTCATCACACGCGCCACTGTTCTTGTTTTCCCTCAAGACCTGTACCTGAGAGGTCAGTTTGGAGGACTTAGTTTCAGGACCTTGCCTTTTTCTTTTTTTAAGTCGTGGTAAGGGGTATATAACTTCAAATGTATCATTTGAACCATTTTTAAGTGTACAGTGCAGTGGTATTAAGTGCATTCTCATTGTTGTGCAGCCGTCACCACCATCCATCTCTGTAATTCTTTTCATCTTGTAAAACTGTAACTATGCTACGAATAACACAGTCAAACAATAACTCCCCATTCCCCAGCTTTCTCCACCACCATTCTACTTTCTGTCTGTGAATTTGACTGTTCTAGGTATGTCAGATAAGTGGAATCATATTTGTCCTTTTGTATCTGACTTATTTCACTTAGCATCATGTCTTCAGGGTTCATCCACGTTGTGGCATGTATCAGAATCTTTTTCCTTTTTAAGGCTGAATAATATTCCACTGTATGAATATACCACATTTTGCTTATCCATTCATCAATTGATGGTCACTTGTTGGTTTCTGCGTTTGGCTGTTGTGAATAATGCTGCTATATACATGGAGTGCCAATATCTGTTCGAGGCCCTGCTTTCAGTTCTTTTGGGTGTATACCCAGAAGTGGAATTGCTGTATCATATGATAATTCTATGTTTAGGACCTCGTGTTCTCCCTTGCTCTGTTTTATCTCTGGACATCACCAGCTTGCCGAGATCTTTTGGGCCTAGATTCTGCCCCAGCTTTGTGTCACCAGCAAATTTGATAGTCAGTACCCTTCCTAGGTGGCCCTACAATTAACTGGCGATCCACTGAATTGTATGGACATTGACTCGTGTTTATCTTGCTTCCACAAGTCTAATAGAGGAGCCTGCTCACTCTGGCAGAGACAACAGGTCAGTCACGGTTTTCTGTTGGACCAGCTTGACAACCTTGTTTCAAAAGCAGATGAGCATAATACCCCACAATTCTAGTCTTGGATATACACCCAAGGGAAATGAGAAGATACGTCCACACAAAAACTTGACCTGAGTGTTCATAGCAGCGTTATTCACAACGGCCATGAGTGGAAACAACTCAAATGTCTATCAGCTGATGAATGGCTTAACAAAATATGGTCTATTTATACAACAGAATATTGTTCAGCAATAAATAAAAAAGAATAAAGTACTGATTGATATATGCTACAACATGGGTGAACTTGAAAATGCTGTGCTAAGTGAAAGAAGCCAGACATGAGAGGTCACATAGTATGTATTTCATAAATGTCCAGAATGGGCAAATCTATAGAGACAGAAAGCAAGCCAGCAGTTGCCAGGGGCTGGGGTTAGAGAGAAGGGAATGGAGAATGACTGCTCCAGGGTATGAATTTCTTTTAGGAGTGATGAGAATGTTGAGGAACTAGGTAGTAATGATGGCTACACAACCTTGTGAATATGCCTTATGAATATGGAAAGAAAAACAGCTGAATTGTACAATTTAAAAGAGTAAATTTTATGGTATGTAAATTATGTCTTGATAAAGCTGTTTTTTAAAAAAAGAAGTTAAAAACCAAGTAAATGAGGCTGACCCCTGAATCACTTTTAGGGTGCCCATGGCAATTATTGCTTCCTTTTTTAAGTGCTCAAAAACCATCCCTTGATAATACTAGATTCAGGGCTGGTTCATCTATGATTCATATACTCTGCCCACTTCCTAGAAACCCAGAAGCACCTCGCTCCTTTCCACACCCGGAACACTGCCTTGTCCTTCAGGCTCCTCACGGCTCACCATCAGGCATCCAGAGGTCTTGTCTGTGGCCTTTAGTATCTTGCAATGTGATCCAGGCAAGGAGGCAGTGGGAGCCCAATGGGGGCACAGAGCTGCCCTAAGGAGGTGGCGTCTGCTGAGGACCAAAGGACAGACAGTGGGTGCTGATGGAGATCAGAGGGGAATGGGGCAGCTCCCCGAACTCTAGGGCACAGAAACGGCCACCGAGGAGCAAGTGGCAGGGGTGCATTCTGGGTGGGAGGGATGGCATGAGTCAGCCACTGTGGCTGGAGCAGTCCACTCTGGGGGACCTCATTCTCAGCACGACCACATGGGCCACAAAATACCACCAGCCCACAGAGTTAGATTTCTTGTTGCCCACACACTACATTTCTTGGCGAGTGGTGGTGTGGTTCCCAACAATGGTGAGGTTTTTTGTTGAGTTGGGGGTGGGGGTGATAGATAGGGAAGAAGCCTGTTTTGTTTGTTTGTTTCATTTTTAACTGTGTTTAACTTCAGTTTTAACACATGTCATTTACCATCTTATTTAGGTGTACAGTTCGATGTACACTCACATTCTCGTATAACCATCACCACTGTCCTTTTCCTCACCCCAAATTGAAACCCATTAAACAGCAACTCCTACCCGCCCTTCCCCTGGTCCCTGGTAACTACTGTTCTACTTTCCGTCTCTATGAATTCTAGATACTTCAAATAAGGGGAATTATGCAGCATTTGACCTCTTGTGTCTGGCTTATTTCAACCTTACCATAATGTCAAGGTTCATCCATGTTGTAGCATGTGTTAGAATTTCATTTTGTTTTTAACTGTGAGTAGTGTATTGTGTAAATATGTCGTATCTCATTGTATGGATAGACTTTATTTTGTTTGTCCGTTTATCTGTCAATGGACAGTTGGGTTATTTCTGCCTTTTGGCTATCAAGAACGGATTTGTTTTTTAAACATGATGTTCATACCTGAGCAACAAGAGATCTCTGGGAAGCGGAAAATAGGATGGACTTGATGGAAGAAGAGACAGGGAGTCTGTGAGAAAACTCTGACAGCCGCAGTGTGTAGAGGAGTGGGGAAGGGGTGGCTGGGCGGAAGGGCAGAAGGCGGAAGCAGGCTCCCACGGGACAGGACGGACCCAGCCACCCGGGAGTAGTAGGCGGGGCCAAGATTCCCGCCGTGGGGAGGCTGGGTTTGTTTCTAGGCAGGTGGCTGGGAGGCGGGGGGTGGGGAGAGAGCCCACAGAGATGCTGGCTCTGTATCAAAACTCAGCCAAGAGGGCAGAGCGGAGACCCTACTCATCTGTGTCTCACACAGGTGTGACCTTTCAGACCTGGAGACTAGATAGTGAGCCAGAGGGCAAAGCACGAGACCAGAGCGCCAGGGCCAGGCCTGATCACAGCCGAGCGCCAGGGCAGGAAGCTGCTTCCAAAGACAAGGGACCAGAGGACCAGAGGAAGGGTTGGTGGAGAAGTGGGTGGCAGAGACCCAGGTGCCGATGACCAAGGGAAGGCTTCTGGAACTGTCATTTGCTCCAGTGCCCTCTGCAGCTGTTCTGTTGTCCAGTGGCAGGAAACTGGGAAAAGTGAAGATAAACAGGCCTGTTTTTCATCCTCAAGAAACTTGTGGCCTAATTAAGGAGATAAAAGATGTGAAAACACTTGTGCAGTGCAAGATCCACTTTAAGTCATGTCGTGCAGAGCCCAAAGGCACTGGTGGAGAGACAGGACCCTATGATGCGGTGACCCAGGTGGGCACTGCAGAGCAGAAGGCATCTGAGTCATTTTTCGGTTAATAAAGTCAAAAGAACGACACCTTTGGTAGATTGACAAGTGTCCTTTTGTCCTGGCCATGGTTATCCCTCACCAGCACCCTGCCTTTGACCCCACAGCTACGACTCGGGAAGGGATGGCTTCATCGACCTGATGGAGCTGAAGCTGATGATGGAGAAGCTGGGGGCCCCCCAGACCCACCTGGGCCTGAAGAGCATGATCAAGGAGGTGGATGAGGACTTTGATGGCAAACTCAGCTTCCGTGAGGTACCTGCTTGCATCCTCAGCCCTAAGCCCCTGCCAGGGGAGGGCCCAGAGAGGACCCACAGATGTACAGTCCTCTGGAGTATAAATGGTTTTGGCCTCTCTAGAGTGCTGCTTGATACATTAACCTAGAGTCCTGCTTTTTAAAATAGCTTTAAGGAGCTAGTGAACCGCAGTGCTGGCATGGGAAAATGCTCAGCAAGCAGACGGAAAGTCAGCGTGGTTAGGATAACCTCATTTGGGTAAAAGAGTAAGTATTGAGAAATCTGGAGGGATGTTCACCAAAATATTCATAGTGGATGTTTGTGGGTTTTCGTGGTTTTTTAAAATAATTTTATACTTAAAAATATATATTTAAATTGTTAATTTTTATAATAAGAATTTTGAAATAGTGGGAAAAAAAGCAAATATACCAAGAGTCTTATTCTGTGCCTATGGACCTCCTCCTCCAGGCAGGTCCATGAATGGGCTTTTTGGTCTTTGAACCCCTGAAATTGTGGGCAAAATTGTGTACGTACAGATGTTTCCTGGAGGAGTGTATGTAAATTGACAGGCTGATCCCCCAATGGGTGAAAACCTTGGCCCTTTTTTTTCGGAGAATTAGGCCATTCAGTTTCTTCCATGGCAAAAATGCAGCCCCACAGGAAGGGAATTCTATGTCTCATGAGTTTTACTGAAAGGCCTTTAGATATGTAAGTGTGACCTGGTATTGGAATAACTTTGGTGACACCATCCGGTTAAAGGCTTGGACATTAGCCCAGCTGCGTGGATTCGTTTTCAATTGGGTCTCATCTGGGGCCCTCGGAAGATGAGAGCAGAGGGGACGGTCCATGTTTCCTGGTGTTTAACCTTGGTTATTCTAGAAATGGTAGATTGCTGGCATCCTGGTTTCTGAGGGTAAGAACTTTGGCCAAGTACTGGTCTTCTGTCCAGGCCAGTTAGGGCCCTTGGGTGGTCTTCCTGGGAGGGTCTCTGTAGCTCACCCGGCAGCCGAGAGCCCCTTCCCCAGCTGGCTGTGCCTCTCACTGCCTGCACATCAACCCAGGAATCTCCCATGTCTTCCTTTCCTGAACTGGCAGATATGGAGATAGATTACACGGAAAACTTGTGTTGGGTGTAACCCTCAGGATAATCTGGTACCAACCTTCTCATTTCAGAGCTAAGGAGCTAGAAGACAAAAGAGGTTAGTGGCTGAAGCTAGGCACCAGCTTGGTGCTGGGCTGGGTTTCAGCCTCCTACCATCACTGACCACACTCAACTTCCCAACCGCCTCTCTGGCTCCTTTGTCTCTCATTTGGTTTCTTCATATCATTCATACATTGTTCTGGGCATTGGCTCTTTCTAATCCAAGTACCCCTGGGGTATAGAAGGTAAAGGATTTTGCCTTGGCGAAGCTTTGGAGGCAATGTTGGGGAAACAACTTCCATGGCAAAGTTGTGACCTCTGGGGAACAGAAATTGAGGGTGCTTAGAAGTCTCTGCAAGTTACCAATGGAGCCAAGACAAAATCCACCTCACCCTCCCTGCCTTGTTTTACCCAGGAGCCACTCAAATGTGCCCCTTTCTGTATCCAAGATGCTTGGTTAGCTGCCGGTTTTGGACATTTTGCACAGATGGTGGACATCAGAGGATCTTCAAAGGGTTTTGTTGTGGGTCCCCAACCTGTCTGCAGAACTTCAGTGACATTCACATTCAGTCCTTTATCAGTTCAGCACCCCACTGTGGTCCCATCCCTAGCAGTTGTACCCAGAGATACAGGATTTGGATGCATAGATACATTTGCCATTAATACTCTGCAGCCCAACCTCCTGCTTTTAGTATTTCACTCTGCTGGTTCCCAGGGTGTTATAAGCCACTAGTGGGCCGATGCTGTGTTTATGTGATGAAAAGAGGCTGACAGGCCAAACTCCATCTTCCACACAGAACTGCATAACTGGAGCAAATTATTTTACTTCTCAGCTTCAGTTTTTTTTTTTTTGTCCTTAAAATAGGGGTATTAATAGCTTTTGCTCAGGACTCTTTTAAGAATCAAGTTTTCTATGCCCCTATCAGCTAGGATTGTTTGCAAGTGAAGGAAACAAGATGCCAACTAATTTAGAGGAGTAAAGAACAGACAACTATTGACTCACATACCTGGGAGATGAAGAAGGGAAAGTGCTTTAGACACAAGTAATCCAGGCTCTTTCCCTTGCCATGTCTTGACTGTGCTTTTTCCATGTCCATCTTTTCTTTCCAAATAGGATGTTGTCCCTGGCACCTGCCAAGATGGCTGCCAGCATCTCCAGGCTACCTTGCCCCAAAGGATAGAGGGCTTCTTTATCCCAGAGTCCATACCAGTTGCAGAAGAAGGCTTCTGATTGGCCCTGTCAGGGAAACATGCCCATCTCCTAGACCAATCATTGCATCCAGGGTACTGTGATTGGCTAGATCCAGGTCATGTGCCATAGGGCACCACAGTCAGCAGCTCCACCACCATCAACACATGCAGCAGGAGTTGCCAGGCAGACAAAATTGCTCACTTCTACAGTTCCTTCCTCACAACCTGGCACTTAGTAGGTGCTTGGCGAGTTTGTATTCCCTTTCTTTTCTTTGGATTAACTCAACTGAAGCAAGTCACATCTAAACAAAAGCTCTTTGATACAGTAGGTATGTCTCCATTTAGTACTATTTTGCTACTTTTCCCCAAAGTACAAGGGACTTGATCTCCCTTTAAACCATTCCTTTTCCAATTGTGCAGATAACATCTGCACATTAGGGGCATTTTAGAAATGGTATACATGGAACCATTAAAAATGGTGATGGGGCACAATGTTTGATGAACAAAGAACAAGTGCTGACAATGTGAAAAGCAGGCATGAAAGCAGATTTCCAAACTTCTATAAAAGATGATTGCTTGTACATACAGTTCACGGACATGTACAGACATGTAGAAGACAAAAGGATGGACCACAATTAGCTGTTCTATCTCCAGAGCTCAAGAGATCCAGGTTGGATTCCACCTCATTCTCCTTTGGAGGCAGACAGCATGTCTGCCTTAATATCCTTCTCTCTTTTTCTTGTGGTCCTCACTAACTCCACTATGTCTGTCTCAAAGCAGAAGCTCCAAGGCCAGATGTGTGGTGGTTTTGTGCAAAGGCTAGGTGAGGGGGTTACTAGATAATCTGTCAGTACTGGGGACTGTGGGTCCCATTCTCTCCTCCCACTTCACCCTCCCTAGGGTGGGTCCCTGGCAGCCCTGCCTGTGCTGAGTTGTACCCCTGCCTGGTCATGTTTGATTGGACCATGGATGGACCTCTGACCCAACTAGGTCAATTAGATTATCTATCTGGGAATTTGAAATTGGGGCTGAGATATTGCAAATTGGCTCTGCAGGTGGCTGTTCCCGAAAGAATAACACAATGAAGGGTGGCCATTTTCTACCATGGGGTCCAGACATGAGAGCTAGAGAGGAAATGTTGCTTCCAATCCTGAGAATGTTGCTTCTCCCAGTTCCAGTCCTCTTCCAGTCCACTGTATTTTGCCCTTGGGTTTTTGACACATCCTTTTTATATAATGTATACCTCCTTTTGGCTTAAGCCAACAAGTGTGTTTCTGTCACTTGCCATCTCAGAGCTCTAACTAATATAGGCATCACTAATCAGAGCCATGAAGTTAAACATTTCCTTAAATGTATCAGAAACATTTGATAGATTGTGTCTGAAACTGCTTTTTGGCTGTGTTAGCCTGTTTCTTTGTTTTCTGCTTCTCCTTCCCTGCCCCCCTCTTTGCTCAGAGTCACAGCTAGGACACTTTCCAATTCTCCACAACATACCAGTCTTTGTGAACTATAAATAGGAAGACAAACAAGGCTGGGCAGTTAGAGAAATTGTCACTCAGGGGTTGGTGATTGTAATAAATTAAATGGGAAAGTCTGGCATACTTTATGTAAGGCTGAACATTCTCAGATTGAGCTGGATTTTTTCTTCTTCTTCTTCTTTAACTGGCTGGGGTGGGAGGACCCCTGAGTTATGATGGGGCTGCTGGTGCTCATCTACTGAGCTGGCAGAGTGAGAGTGAGCTCAGAGGCCCAGGATCTGCTCTGGGGAAAAGACCCTTGAGGAATACTTTAAGCCCTTCTGTAAACACTAACATTGTCATCTCTGCTGCAGATGTGAGAAAAATGAGTTTCGGGGGTGAAGAGACCCACCCTCCTCTAAAGTCATTTGGATGGCTGCTAGGCAGGGGGCAGTGCTCCATCTTTCCTAAGCTGCCTCCCTGGTATGGAGGGGCTACTGTTTTGTGTTTGCCTTATTGAGCACTGGGACAGGGGTGGCTTCTGTAACCAGCTGCTTTAAGGATGGGTAGGGTACTGAAGGACGGATGAGTATTTTACTCCTTCCCTCTGTCCGTGGCTCACGGCTCATGCTTGCAGCTCTGAAGTCTTGGCTGATTCAATCTCTCCAGGGAGCCTGACCACTACCGTCCCCCACCCCCTTGTCCCCCACCCCCTTGTCCCCCATCCTATTCTTGGGTGCCTCACCTCCTTCCACAGGCTTGATTTCCAAGGCTTTGGAGCCAGTGTTTTGGCTCCAGTAATCTGCAGCAAACTGAGTCTTTGCTGGCCTCTAGTGAGAGAGTTTGAAGCTGCAGGTGGATGAACACGGTGCTTCCGTGGAGCCAAGCTGACTACAGCGGCCTCCGCAAAGCTGAAAATCCTTGAACAGCTTTCTTCACTGCTTGCTTTGTATTTGGCGATGTCCACTGTGGAATTAGGACCCCTGAAGGAAGAATGACAAAGAAAGGCTTGTAGGCAAGGCATTTTTTGGTGGTGGTGGTGGAAGCTGAGACTTTTCACTCAATGAAACCCGCTTCCCTCTAGAGACTAAGATCCTTGGCGATAAGACACCCAAGTTGGAATTTGCAAATCCTGTTGAAGTTGTCTTGCCTCTCACTCTACTTTAGGTAACGTTCTTCCCTCTTGGGGAAGCCAAGGAGATGGTCATGAAAATAACCTGGAAAACCTGAAATTTCCTTTTAGGCACACCTATTTTAGGTATTTGAAAACCTACCTCTTTCTGGGATGACTTGGAATACATCAATTTCTACCCTTTCTAAATGGAAAAAGAAATTCTAGAAGTTGGATAGCCGTTGTTGGACAAGTAAAATTCACAAAAAATTTTTAAGGAAGAGAAATAAAAAGCCATATAACTGCTTTGGGGGAGGATGGGGGGAGGATGGGGCAGGGACTGCTCTTTCAGGTTGGCCTCTTTATTTACTTATTAATTTTTCTGCAGAGGAAAAATTTATTCTGCAGAGGTCTTACTACAAGTTGGCTTTAAAGACAAATTCATTCAGGTCACATTTTGAATCTGGAGGAAGAGGATGGATTATTCAATAAATAATGTGGGGATTATTAACTAACCATTTGGAAGAAAATAAGGTTAATGATCAACTTCACATGACAGATCAGAATAAATTTCAGGGATTAAATATTTACATGTTTGAAAAAAACACAGTAGACAAAAACACAGACAATTGTTTCTATAACCTTGGTGGCAAGAAAGGTTTTTCTAAGCATAACACTGGTGAGAGAAAAGAAAAAGGCTGATAATTTTTTAAAACGTGTTATCATAAACAAAATTAACAAACAGTACCAAAGTATTGGAAACATACTAAGTTCTATAAAGATCTCTTAGGAAACAACAAAAAAGGTAAATAATCTAATGCAAAAATGGGACACAAATGGAAAATAGGAATGGGTTAAAAAAAGTCATAAATATTAAATTATTTAGTTTAAAAAATAGTATATGCAGGTCTACTGGATTTTTTTTTCTTTCATGGCTATAAACTAGGATGTTGCCAATTTTTAGCTTTTACAGACAATGCTTCTTAAACTATTGTGTAAATGTTTCTGAGGGATAGATTCCTAGCAGTGGAATTAATGGTTGGAAGGATAAAAGCATTTTATTTTTGGTAAATATTTCCAAAGCGTCCCCAAAAATTTGGACTCAAGTTATGCTCCCATCAGCTAGAAGTGAAGGTCCCCATTTCCCTACATCCTTGTGGGAAAATGCACATGTTTTCATTTTTGACAATGCAATAAAAAAATATTTTGTCACACATGCATATATACACCCTTTTTAATAGGCTTGGCAATAATGGCTTTAGCTTGGGCCGGAGGGGACTGCTGTAAATTAGTGACATTGACTCTGACTCTAACCAACCTTCCCCTGTAGTTTCTGCTCATATTCCACAAGGCCGCTGCAGGGGAGCTGCAGGAGGACAGCGGGCTGATGGCCCTGGCCAAGCTTTCTGAGATCGATGTTGCCCTGGAGGGCGTCAAAGGTGCCAAGGACTTTTTTGAAGCCAAGGTAGGCACCTCCTTCCTGCGCAGGACAACCCCTCTCTCCCTGCACCCTGCCTAACAAAAGCTCCCAGTCAGTGACTCTCTCATGGACTTTCTCAGGACAAGCGAAACAGCCACAGCTTAATCGTGTGAGATTGTAGGAAAATGAGAGTGTGTCTGTGTGCAGTCTGCAAGTTAAAAACAAAACAGAAAGACAACTAAATGGTAAATGCATTCAATCCTGGTTTCAGATTCAAACAGGTTTGCTGATACCAGGCTCCTAGATTGACTCTGGATCCAAACTTTCTTAAAGAATTCCTCCCTACCCCAAACCACCGTGGAGTTACTTGAACAACTACCTCTGCATTTGCATCTTAAACACCTGTGCATAAACAAGGGCATAATATGGCTGGAGGAGGGAGACTTGGTGGCTCACCCTGAATCTGAATTGGTATCTGCAGCATTGACAGTGGCTGGGAGTCGGGAAGGAAACTCCAACGCACAGTCTTGAAGTCCTTCTGGGCACTTCCATTCCTTTATGAGTTCATACAGTCATTGAAGACCTATGGAGATATTATCACTGGCTGGGTGCTGTCATTCTCCTCTCTGCAGAGCACACCTGCAGAGAGAGAAAGATCAGGAGAGGCCTCCGAATCCTCTGTTGACCACAGCAGTAGAGTGCAGTAAATAAAGTTACCTAAGTTCAGATTCTACCTCCTCTACTTACTTACCTGCTAACTGTCTGTGCCTCAGTTTTCTCATCTGCACAATGGGACCGACAATGCGATTGCCATGAGTATTAAATGGATTCACATATCTGAAGTGTTTAGCAAGGGCCTGGCTCACCAAGAGCACTCTGCACGTGGTATATGAGCTGTTGGGGCCCCTACCACTCCAGGTAGGAGCCAGCTTCTTGTGGAACTTTGTTTTGTTTCAGGAGTTTGCCCAGAGACACAGTCCTTGGTGACACAGCCCAGCCTCCTTGGGCCCCTAGCAGCCCTCTCTTTCCACTTCTCTGTGATACTACTTGGAGACAAAGTCTATTGTCTTTCCACCAACTATGAATCGTGGTGGCCTCCTAATGCCTGAATCCCTACTGCTGTCATCTGGCAGTTTCAGGGACAGGCTGACCACTCATTGTAACTTCAACACCAGAATCGTATGTCCAGTCCTGAAAGTGGTTTGGCCCTTGCTTTGTGACTTAACATTGATTCCACTCAGTTCTGGTGATGCCAAATTAAGCCCTGGAGAGTCTCCGTGTTGAGAGGAGGGAAGGGTTAGTCTGGTGGGACGAGTCCTCGCCATTCATTGGCCGAGTCACTTGCAGATCTCCTGTGACAGACGCCTTGGGCAGGGGCCTAGGTTTGAAACCTAAAGTTAGCGGGACCCTGTTTTCAGTCCACAGCTGCAGTGCCAAGTGCTCTTGTCGAAATCTGTCTGAAGTCTCTGGGAATGTCTTATCTGGCTTTTCCCGACCTTTTATAATCTGGCTGTGATCCAGGCTGTAGTCTTGCCCACCCTGTGCACAGTTCTTCAAATACTGCCATGCCTTTTCAGGGCCCCAGGACCTGCTGTTTCCTCTGTCTGGAACATCCCACCCAAATGCCTCTTCCTCGAAAACTCTATAAAACCCACATTAAAGAGCTGCCTCTTCTTGGCTGCTTTTCCTGACTCTCCAGGCCAAGAATGTCCAGCCTCCTCTGTGTACCTCTATGATGAATGGAAGTGCCATAATAATTTATCTCGTATCTTACAATCTATCTTACCAAGGCTGCTTGGACACTTTTGGTAAGAGTGTAAATTGACCCAACTTCTTGGACAGCAGTCTGGGGCTAGCTGTTAACATTTCATATCCTTCACCTCTGGAAATCTGCCTCTAGGATTTTATCCTTCAGAGACAGTCGTGCAAATGCACACAGATGTGGAGACAAGGATATTCACACAGCATTGTTGATAATAGAGGAAAATTGGAAACCACCAAAACTTCCATTACCAGGGAGTTGAGTCCACTGTGGTACACCCCTACACTTGCACACCCTGCAGCTGTCAAAGAGTGAGATCCAGCTGCCTTTACATGTGGACAGATGTCCAAAATAAATTAGGCAAAACTGTTTGAAACCCAATTTTGTTAAATACAAACTAGATAATTATATACCAAAGTATTAATAAGAGTGATGTCACAGGGACTTGTTTCTTATATTTTTGTAATGTTTTATAGTGTGTGTGCCTTCTTTTTACAACCAGGAGAAAATATGAAAAGAATAACAATAAAATTTTTTGAACTCATTATGTTTATATGTCTGCCTCCTCACCCGCAGACTCAAAGGCAGAGTAGTTGTGTTATCTTTGTAATTACAGTGCCTGGCTAATAATGGCTCTCAATAAATGTTTGCATGAATGACGAATGGAAGAAATCATTGCTCGAATTTGGGAGAAGGCCATAAAGGAGCTGGCCTTTGCGACAGATGTTCAGAGATGAATGGCGAGTCACCTTGTAATCAGGGAAGGGAAGGCGTTCCTGCCGTGGGAACGAGAGGAGCAAAGGCTCCGAGGCCTGGGGGCAGGGAGCGTTTGGAGGCTGGCCCCTGTTCATACTGGACGCCGTTGGACAGGGTGTTCTGGGTTCCCCTGAAAGTCAGGCCTTCCCCAGCCTGCTGATCCCAGGCCTCGCCCAGCTCTACCTGGGCTCTGCAGGTGCTGGGGCTCTCAGAGGGCTTGAGCAGGGTCTTAATGTGAGCGACGGCGCACAGCACAGGGACAGACTTGCCTGAGGAGAGGCTGGACTCGGGGGCTGCTGTAGACATCGGGAGAATTGTAGGGCCAATTAAGAATGTGACGATGGGGCTAGGGGGAGGTGGGGGTGAATCCCAACTCCCTAGAACTCTCAGTATTCATGACCACTTGATTGGAGGCGGAAAGTAAAATGCCTCAAGGTTATTGGAGCCATGTCGCCAGGGGTTGGTGATACTTTAAAAAATCAAGACAGGACCCCCCAACCTGGAAGGTGAATGATTAAAGGAGGAAAAGTTATAATCTGAGTTTTACTGTTAAGTCCGAGGTGACTTCAGGCAAAGGGAAGACCTGCTCCTTCATCCGAAGGGCACACTGCTGTTTGCTAATAGTTTCTGCTCAGGTCCTGTTGGATAAAACGTGGCCATACCCAGATAAATGGGAGGCTACAATATACCTCTTTTTTTTTTTTCCTGGAGATCTGTTTGCCCAGCTGTAATTCTGAAGATGGGGATACTAAATACTGAGGGTCATGGAATAATCTTGTCCACACCTGTCCATTCCTGAACCAACCACTGGCAAGGGCTATAATATCATTACCCTGACTGGGCTCTCTCCTGGAGCCCAGGGATGGGTTCAGTCTCCCCTAGACCCTTGGGCCATGTGCCAGGGGAGCATCTCATAGGAAGAAAGAGGGAGGAAATGGATGTTTTCTGGACACCCTGCCACACAGACGACAGGAACTATCTTCACAAGGTACGAGCTGAAACCCAACAACTAGAGGGGATTGACCAAGGGCAGAACGTATTGGTGACTAGATGGCAGGGAAGGAAGGAACCAGAGATACCCTGGAGAAAATGCCATTCTGGAGGACAGGAGCAATTTCCAGAAGAGACTGAATCAGATGCGGCCAGAGCAGAGGTCTTGGGTCCAGCAAATGGGTCAGTGGAGATTTTTGAGAGGTGAGATTCACTGTGGAGGGCAGATTGGAATAGGGTAAGAGGTGGATGGGAACTGAGGGAAAAGAGATCTCATGGCTGGCTTTTCTGTCTAGAAGGTTCACAGAGGAGGCCCAGGCATAGTGGGGATGGTAGCTCAAGATCAGGGAAGAACTTTTTGGGGTTTTTTAGCCTAGAGAAGATAGATGTTGGCATGTTTTTAGGTCACAGGGAAGTGGTCCAGAGAGAGGGAAACATGACAATAAAGAAATAGTAGGGTGATTAATGTGACATTGACTTGGAGGTCACAGAATCAAGAGAAGAGGTAGACCTTTATAGTGGAGAAGAAGGCCCCCAAGTGAAGGAGTTGCAAGGGCTCCCAATCCTCCTCTGAGCTGGCCAGGAGTGGGCGGGTGGGGTGATTAACAGACATGTGAGTGTTGATGACGGGCCAGACCCTCTGCTGAGAGCTTTGGATTTGTGCCTTTTCTAACGCTCACACAAGCACTCTGGAGGTAGGTGTTGCTGACCCACTTTGCAGATGAGGAAACTGAGGCTTAGACAGTGGTTTGGTAAATGTTTAGCAACTGGCTGTCTGGACTATACACACACACACACACACACACTTAAATTTTATAATATATTTTGCTGATATAAAGGGGAGTAGCACACTATTTACAAATAATAAAATATACACTATTTTTATAAGGAAAAAGTGAAAGGAATAGGTCAGAACTTCATCCATTCCTCAGTGACATGAGTAACATCTTTGCTGAACTTGATAATAGTTTTCAAATATTGGAAGAACATTCTCTCAATTTTGGAGCTATTCATAATGTAAAGCCTACAGACATTACATGTGTTTTAAGTTTAATCTGCATTTTTAGCATTTTCCCTTCACTTTCTTAAGAAAAGATCATCTAATTGTGCTGTACACCAGAAATTGACACTTGTAACTGACAGGACTTCAACTTAAGAAAACAATTTTAAAAAAAGAAAGAAAAGATGGTCTAGACACTCAATGAAATAATATTCAAGCCCTAGTTTGTAGTATTTGTTGGTTTCCAAGGTGTGAATACTCCCACCAGGGTTGCTTTCAAACTGCCAATGGGATGTTGAAGCTGCAGTTGGGAAGATCCACAGTAGCATGTCACCATGTAGGATTTCCACCTCAGAGATATACTAGACATGGATGGCCTCCAGAACACAGATAATAGTAAATTGTAGTAAAATAATCAGGCAATGACAACTTTTGTGTATTACTTTTGTTTGTAATATAATTTAATTGTGAATATGTATAAATCTAATTTCTAATAATGGCTATATTTAACAACCAGCTCATAAAATTCCTGAAAATCCAACAGCTGGCTCCAGTACACCTCTGGGCCTAGAGATGTTCAATGAAGTGCCCAGGGGCTCACTTCCCTGCCCACCCTGAAGCACAGGGAAAAAGGGGAGGATAAAATAGGTGTGAGATGAGTTCAGGGTGGATGGACCGCATTCCTCTGTGTTTTCTAAACAAGGGAGGAGGAGACGGGCTGCTGAGAGTGGCAGGACCCATGAGGCTGGTGGCTGTCTGGATGACTGCTGTGGGGAAGAGCGGAGGGGAGGGGGGCTGAGTCCTACCAAAGGCCCAGTGCAAACTGGAAATCCTCACCTCCCAATGGGTCCAGACACAGTCCTTGTGAGATTTCTAAGAAAAACATGTTTTCAGCCTGTGGTGGGGAACAGACAGAATCCTTGGTCTAAGGGTGGGACTTGGCGGAGTGGGAGGGGAGAGGTGAAGCGTGTCAGGCCGAAATGCAGGTCCTGGGAGTTGAAGGTACCTTGACAGGTGTTGTTGCAAAAATTGTCAGGTGTCCATTTCCGGTTAGAGAGCAAACTAGGGCAAGGCTAACAGGGCAGGGAATAGGGGCTTGAACCCTGGTTGCAGGGTTCTACAGCCACTGTGGGGGGCTGGGGAGATAGCAATTCCAACTCGGACTTCTTCCCATAGTCAAGAAAGCGCAGCCTCTGGGGACGCTAACGTAGGGAGACCAGGCCAGAGCAGGGCCGCAGGGGCCTAAGAAATGCCTTGGAGGTTCGGAAACCATAATTTCCTTGTCCCTGTTTGGATTTGGAAAGAGTGAAAACATAATATACGCTTCCTGTTGGTAATTTCCCTGGTATCCTGTCTTCAGAAATGGACCCCTGTGAAGTATAGGGAGAAGTTAGAAAAAAGGATCCTACACTTTTTCACTGAGATATGAGAATCTGCATTGGGCCACCATGGATGTAACGAAATGAAAGTCAGAGTGGACTAAATAAGGAGCGTTGCAGGAAAGGGTAACTCTCCGCTGGAGCAGTGCAGAGAGCTGGATGAGTGGACCGGGGAGTAGACTAATAAGACGCCCGGATATGGAAGCCAGTGATAGAGAAACGAGGAGAAATAGAGAAGATGATGGCCACAGCTAAAAACCATGAGAGACGCCGATACATCCATTTAAAATCCTTAAAAACTCAAGAAACAAACTCACAGATGCAGAGAGCAGACTAGTGGTTACCAGAGGGGAAGGAGGTTGGTGGGGTCAACTGTATGGTGCTGGGGAGTAATGAAACTCGTGGTGGTGATCACTCTCTAGCGTACACAGAGGTTGAACTCTAATGCTGTACAGCTGAAACTTATAGAATACAAAATTAAAAAGTTGAAAAATTTAAACTCAGTGAAGGAAATGCTTTTCTACAAATTTGAAAAAACAAACAGAAAATGATGAATTATAAAGACATTTAGAAAGTTAACAACCCTGCCTAGGCCCCCCCAAAATACTAAAATGCTAGGTATTTAGGGATTAATTCTTTAATGTTATACAATTTTTCAATGTTATAAAAATAATTCAAACATATTGTCAAAAATTATGTCACATTCATTCTCTAAAGTCATTATGATTCTGATGACAAAATAAGATAAAAATAACATCAGAAAAAAATTATATCAGCCTAATGAATATAGCTGTAAGAATCTTGAAACATTAAGAAGTGGAGTGCAATTATAACATTTGAAATTTACGTTAAGATTGCAAGGGTAATTTTAAAAATACATTCATATTACAGGTAGCTTCAACAAGAAAAATGTGATCGTTTCAGTTAGATGTCTCAAAGGCATTGGGTGACGTTTAATATTCATGATAACACAGGAAATAAGAAAACAAAATGCTTATTCCATCTGATAAAAGACTATTTACTTGTAAATATCAAGGCATTCTATAAAGCATTAATATTAAATAATGTAGTGTGGGTGCAGGAATAAACAAACCAGTTAGTGGAACAGGACAGAAAATAATAAAAACAGATCTCCTGAATTTAGTATATGAGAAATATCATTTTCAAGTCAGTGGGAAAAGAATGGGCTATTCAATAACAGGTGTTGAAACAATTGGCTCTCCACTTAGGAAAACGAAGTAAAGCCCTCCGTCATGCTCCCTCCCTCACATAAATTGCAGGAGATTTAAGAACTGAATGAGAAAATAAAACCATATATATATATATATATATATATACATACATACACACACACACACATTCACATAGGAAAACTAAAAAGAAAGAAAGCGGCTATTTTTAAATGCCTTCCTACTTTTCACTTTTTACATATCTAATAGATACATACAGATTGTGCATTTGGACAAACATACTGCTTCAAGGAAGAAGAAAACCCAGTAAAATAGATCCTTTGAAGAGGGGAGGATAGATATAGCTCAAGTTGTGGAGCCCACGCTTATCATGCACGAGGTCCTCAGTTCAATCCCCAGTAACTCCTCCAAATATAAATAAATAAATAAACCTAATTGCCTCTCCCTCATAAAACAAACAAAAAATAAAAGTAAAAAACAGAAGACCAGACAAAAGTACCTGAAAAATACATAATGAGAAATTAAACCTAAACTATGTGAAGAATTGCAAATTAAAGAAAAAAAAACTCACCAGCTGAATCGGAACATGGGCAAAGGATACAAATGGGTAATTCACTAAAGAGGAAATAAAAGAAGGTGCTAACTTTTTTTGCCTATCAGATTGGCAAACAGGAATAAGTTTAATGATAAGCGTTGGCAAGGTCGTGGGGAAATGAGTATTTGCATTCCATGATGGTGGGGTGCAAACTGAAGCAGCTGCTTTGGAGAGCAATTTAGCAATCTTTATGAAAAATAGTGTACACACCCAATGTGTTTGCAAAATTTACCAAATTGATGAGACACAGAGAGAAAAAAACAAAAGAGAGGATCAATCCTAGAACAGAGGATACGATGGATTTATCTGATATGGTATTATTGAAGACAGATTCAAATCCCACTCACAATACCAGAAAAACACATGTAGTATTTGGAAGTAGATTTAGAGTTAGAAGGATTGATTCAGAGAAAATTGAAATTTTTAGTGGGCACCATGGAAAGAAAAACAGTACTGAATGAAAACAGAGGCATTCAGGGAAAACTGTATGTTTCAAAGAGACTACCGAGTTCTGTTTGATGGGCTGCTCCAGCTCCAAGTTTCTCTTTCCGAACTTTTCACTCTGTTGGTCTGTTCTCGCTGTTTTTCTGCAGGTACAAGCCTTGTCCTCTGCCAGTAAGTTTGAAGCTGAGTTAAAAGCGGAGCAAGATGAGCGGAAGCGCGCAGAGGAGAAGAGGAGGCTTCGCCAGGCAGCCTTTCGGGAACTCAAGGCCGCTTTCAGTACTTAGGTGCTTTGACCTTGAACTCTGTCTTCAGCTGTGCCTCACAGATGCCCTGGGGAGAGCTGGCCGGGCATCCTCACCCCTGCTGACCCTTTGCCCCAATCAGCTCCACACCCTTGCCCAAGGCAAACTCCTTAGTCTCAAAGGGGTGGCGGGGGGGGGGCAGCTCTCCTCTCCTTGTGGGAACCCCTCCCAGAGGGTCCAGAAGCCCCCCTTGCCTCTGTCTCCTGCTCACCTTCCTCTGCCCTTCTCTGCAGCCAGAATGTGCCTCTACTTGGCAACCTTTTCTTTTTCCTTCTCCCTCTACCCTTCCATGTCAAAGAGTGGTCTACTGTGTTAATTTGTATGCATACTTCTTTCTTTCTCTGGTGGTCCTCAGAGGAGATATTCCCCAGAGGCCTGTGATGTTAATGTTGCCTGTTTCCTTGGGTAATCCTTTTCTGCACCTCTCCCCGTCTTGCCCCTCTCTCCTCTATTTCTCATCCAGCTTCCCTGTTCTCATTCTTAGCCTGATCCTGTTACATGCTTTGGTATCCTCTGTCATTTGATGATGGTGAGGTTTAAAGCAGGCAGGACAAGTTGGCCAGGCTGGACCACTTATTGCCTATCTCCTTTCCAACAGGGGGCTCAGCATGCTGCCAAGATGACACAAAATAGCGACAAGTTAGGAAGTTCTGTTCCTTCTCATCTGCTTTCTCCTGCCCTCTTAGCATTCCCCCTAGATCTACTCTTTGCATCATCCTTCCCACTTTAGACTCTTTTTTTCTACTCTTAAATACTGAGCTACTTAACTGTAAGAATGAAAGCATGATTATAAGTGAATTAATGAGTAGAATTCCTGTTAACTCTGACACTGCAAATTCTATTACACTAGACCCCTGACATTCCCAAGTGACAAATCCAGAGCCTTTCAAAATCCCAAAAGTCATGACCATCCTCACCATCTAGCCAGTTTGCAACATTCGCTCCAAGGTGCTGAGGTGAAGCCGTCCTTATTCCTGCAGCACAAATTTTTATACGTTATAAATTCTTGGGATTGCTCACAAACATCAGGGGTTGGTTGTATTTTATAAAAGAATTTCTAACGTCATATTTATTACTTCTCTTTTTTTAACTGCTGTCTTTATCATAAAGAAAACGTCTGCATTTTTACCTTACAGCTGTTCTTTTTCAATAAACTGTGCAAATGGACTTTGCCATCACGTCAATGTGCGTCTAGTCTTCTTTGAAATGGGGGAGAGAGAAGAGCGGTTTCTGTAGGGACCACATCTAGCCCTGAAGCAGAGTGAGGAGTGGTAGCTAGAGTTTGGCTTTCACTCTGGGGCATTCTGAGTACCAAGCTTGTCGGTCAGCTGCTCTTCTTCCCATCACTGAGGAGTCTTTAAGCTGTAGATAAAATCTGTAGCTTGATTTTTGCTGCTTCCTAGACCCCTTGAAACTCTGATGAGGGCCAATGACCCCCTCCCTCCCATGTATAATTCCAGGGTATTTGGGGGACCTAGGTAAGGACACCTAGCCTAAGAGAACACCTCTAGCTCCTCAGGGAGGATCATTTCTATTTCTGCACACACCCAAGGCCTACAATTCTCAGGCATCATTTTTCCAGGTGGGGTCACCCTGCATCCTCCCCACCAGAGGAAATGGACATGAAATATGACTGGAGAGACCCTGACCGTATAATCCAGCAGTCGGGCCTCATGGTATTCATCCAAATGAGCTGAGAACCCTTGTCCACACAAAAACCTGCACATGAATGTTTACAGTAGCTTTATCAAAAATTCAAAATTTAGAAGCAACGAAGATGTTCTTCAATAGATGAAAGGAGAAACAAACTGTGGTCTAACCGTACAATACAATATTAATTCAGTGATGAAAAGAAATATTAATCAGTGATTAAAAACAAATGAGCTGTCAAGTCACAAAAAGACATGGAGAAAATTTAAATGCGTATTGCTAAGAGAAAGCCAGTCTGGAAAGATTACATTCTATATGATTCCTAATGTATGAAATTCTGGAAAAGGCAAAACTCTGAAGATAGTGAAAAGATTAATGGTTATCAAGGGGTTGGGGGCAGGGAGGGAGGGATAAAAGGAAATTTTTAGAGCAGTGAAACATTTTACATGATGCTATAATGGTCATCATACGTTTGTCAAAACCCATGCAGAAGATACAACACGAAGAGTGGACCCTAATGTAATTATTTAGTTAATAATAATGTGTCAATATAAGCACATTGATTGTAACAAGTGTACCACAGTATGTGAAATATTAATAATAGGGGAAACTAGAGGTGGAGGAAGAAGGGAGGATATGAAACTCTGTACTTTCTGCTAAGTTTTTCTGTAACCCTAAAACTGCTCCCCAAAAATAAAGTCTATTAATAAAAATTCTTTTAAAAAAGAAGGAAGGAATGCAGACAACAGTATAATTACTTCAAATGTCTTTTTACTCTGGACAGCAAGGCCCTTGTGAGAGCTAAAATCTCTTGATTGCAAATGATAGCAAATGTAATACGAAAGGACTTAAGGAAAAAAAAGGATGGCTATTGGGTTATGGAACTACACAGACCAGGGACTGGATTTCTTTATCCCCTCTTGGTGACGCAGTCCTGTAGACAGTGTTGCCTTCCTGCCTCTCACCTACAGTTTCCTTCCTCCCTCTCTATGGCCATTGCCTTCTTGGCTTCTTATCCGTGTCTCTACAGTGGCCTCCTCACTGGTTTCCCTGCCTTCATGTTGCCCTGACTGTCCACCCTGCAGTTAGAATAATCTTTATAACCTGCAAACTGTTGCTAACATATCTCCTTCAGGTTTTGGCTCCCCATCTTCAGGATCTGGCCCCAGTTCACCCTCCCGCCCCATCTCTTGCCCGTCCCTCCCCCCTTCTCTCCTTCCAAACGGTACACTCCCAGAACACGCAATACGTAGCAGTTCCTAGAAAGTGCCACACCTCCAGGTTTTTGCACACACTCTTCCCTCTGCCTGGCACTCCCTCCCTCCTTTCCCCTGGCATTGTTTATGACTCAGCTTGGCGATTATCTCCAGAAAGCTTTCTTGATGCTCCCAGGCTAGGTGAGGTACCCTTTCTCAGGATTCCCACTTCACCTCAAGTCTTTATTGTTATTCTTACAACCTTATGCAGTATCCTTCTCTTTTCCTCTCTTCCTCCTCCTTTGGACTGTGAACTCTTTGAAGGGTAAAAACTCTGCTTTACCCACTACCGTAGGCCTCACATGCTGCCCAGCATATGACAGCCCCACTCCCAGGCGTGTTCATTTCACAAGGATGTACCAGGTTTGTCGGAGCAGACAGATGGGTGAGGGAGGGCCACTACCACTGACTCAGGGCCCTTCTGAGCCCCTGACCTGGGAGCCTGGCCTGAGGGGACAGCTCTGAGAGTGAGGGTGGCAGAGACTGTGAGGACATCTCTCTCACAGGAAAGGTGATGAGTCTACTCCTTAAAGGTGCTCCTTTAGCTGAGCAAGAGGGAAAACTAAAAAGCAAATCAGTTCTGCCACTGCCCTGGAGGCTGTGTGATGTAATGGGATTTGGAGTCAGATTCAAGGCTAGTAATTTAACTGAGCGTCAGTGTCCTCATTTGCAAAATGGGAATGATGATTGTCTACCTGGCAGACTCCATGTCTGGCATGTACTTAGCACTCAGGACATGCGGGTCTCGCTCTGTCTTCCACCCTCCACGACTAATAGCTCTCTCTTTTCTTGAGCGCTGGGTCTCTAAAGTCACACGCAAAGGATCCCAGGCTAGGGTGGCCCAGAAATGCTTAGCCCTGGCTGCTGCCTTGGCCCCAAGCACAGAGGCCCACTTACCCAGCTTTTCTGTTTTTTTGAGGCCTCTTTCTCAAGTAGCCTGGAGAGATTTCTGCCAATCTGCCTGCTCACCTGCCACGCCCCTGCAGCTGACACTTGCTGAGCCATCCTGGCTGACCATGTGACCTGACACCTGTGGCCTTGTCCCTGCTCAGATTTCTTCTTGCTGACCATGCCCAACCACCAGGCCAGATTTTGACCACATCCCTGCTCATCAGCCTGACTGATGGTGGGAGGTCCCGGAGGTCAACTTAGAATCCTACAGCTTAGGAAGGCACTGAGGATGGGACCTTATAGGGGTCAGTTTCCCCATTCCCTTACTCTTTTTTCGAAAACCAATCATTTTTGGCACTCTGCCACATATTATTGATGGGAGTGTACACTGGTATTGTTCTTTTGTCTGTGTGTGTGGCTTTTACAGGTATGTTTATTCATGCATGAGTGCAGTGACACATCTACAAGTCAACACAATGTCCCACGTTCCCAACAAACATGGCCAGACTGACGTTCCATCCACATAAAGCTGGTTAACAGTGACCATGAGCAGCTGAAGGACTGGGAGATTTCAAGGCTTTACTTCTTTTATCAGCACTCCTGATTTTATAAATGATGAAGCCCATCAACGCCATCCCTAGCTAAATCTCCAGGTAAACTTGGGAATAGTAGGGCTTCTAGGGAATCCAAACATTCTTAATAAGGCTCTGAAGCATCTCAGCGCAGGACCAGTGGCTCAGGTGGCCCCAACCCACAACCAACAACTTGGAAAGATCACTTGGTGGTGTCTTTTTTTTTTAACATTTTTTTTAATTGAGTTATAGTCAGTTTATAATGTTGTGTCAATTTCCATTGTAGAGCACAATTTTTCAGTTATACATGAACATGCATATATTCATTGTCACATTCTTTTTCGCTGTGAGCTACCACAAGACCTTGTATATATTTCCCTGTGCTGTACAGTATAATCTTGTTTATCTATTCTATATACGCCTGTCAATATCTACAAATTTTGAATTCCCAGTCTGTCCTTTCCCACCTCCCTCCCCCTTGGCAACCACAAGTTTGTATTCTGTCTATGAGTCTGTCTGTGTTTTTTATTTATGTTCTTTTTTTTTTTAGATTCCTCATATGAGCGATCTCATATGGTATTTTTCTTTCTCTTTCTGGCTTGCTTCACTTAGAATGACATCCTCTAGGGACATCCATGTTGCTGCAAATAGCGTTATGTTGTCGTTTTTATGGCTGAATAGTATTCCATTGTATAAATATACCACATCTTCTTTATCCAGTCATCTATCGATGGACATTTAGGCTGTTTCCATGTCTTGGCTATTGTAAATAGTGCTGCTGGTGTTGTCCTTTTGAAGAGCAATTTGGTAGATTGTTAAAATTTAAAATTATATCTGGATTAGTCATTAATTCACGCTTTAACAAATCATCCCATCACTTAGTGGCTTAAAACAATAATTAACATTTATTATTTCACATAGATTCTGAGGGTAAGGAATTCAGAAGTGATTTAGGTGGGTTCTAGCTCAAGGTCTCACATGAGGCTGCCATCAAAATGTCAATTAAGTCTGCAGCCAACTGAAGGCTTGACTGGGACTGGAAGACCCATCTCTAAGGTGACTCACTCATGGGGTTCACAGGCTGGTGCTGTCTGTTGGCCAGAGGCCTCATTTACTTGCCACATGGACTTCTTCGTTGGGCTGCTTGAGTGTCCTCACAACATGGTAGTTGGTCTCCCTCAAATCAAGTGATACAAGACAGCAGGTGTAAGCCACAATGCCTTTTAAGACCTAGCTTCAGAAATCACACTCTGTCATCCCCACAGTATCCTACTGGTTACCCAGGTTAGCCCAATAGGTAAGAATCATTGGGAGCCATCTTGGAGTCCGGCTACTACAGAATTAGTCAGGGTTCTTAACTGCAAGTAACAAAATCTAAGCGGACTGATTTAAACAGAAGGAGAATTGATTGAAAAGACATTGAGGAGCTCACAGAATCACTAGCAGGGTTTGGGGACCAGGCTAAGAAAACAGGCAGGAGGCCAGGTGCCTGAGTCTGCAGCCAACAGCACACCATGAGAACCAGCCAGGCCTCATGCCACTGACCTTGCTGAGAAGAATTTTGGGGTATCTTGCTTCTGCAGGTGCTTACTCCAGATTCAGAGCCTGAGGCTGAGCCATCACATGCCCACGTGTTGGGGGGTGGGAAGGGTCAGTATCTGGACCATTTGTTTCCTGTAAAAGGAGGCAAACTCTGTTTCCCATCGAGATTCTTATTTTCCCCAGACATGGGAAAGTATTTCAGACACAGAACAGTCACGAAAGAATGGCAGATGTCCACTGCAGAGATATTCATGAGCTTTGATCCAG